CTTAATCATTTTTGTCAAATTATATTTTCCTGATTATTTGAACAAATACGTGTTGGGTATATATATAGCATTTTACCTACTAAAAATTGTTTAGCTTTTGTATTATTTCTTAAATGTTATACATACAAATTTGGGCATTTTGTGTTATTTTTCTTTTTATAACTATAAGCCTATTGGATTTTATTCATTAATTTTTTTATTTTAATTGTTTAAATGTGGTTTAGAATCTTCATTGCATTTTTATTAGTTTTACATTTTTTTTTATTTTTTTTTTATTTCAATATTTTACTTTGCTGGTATTTAGTGGGTACCACTGTTTAAAATTTCAGTACCGAATAAAATCTGAATCTGAAATCTAATATTTTATAAATTAAATTTACTTGTATTGCCGTCAGTGTGCTTGTCTTTTTATTACCTACTTTTTCTTTGCAAATTGCTACCCAACCTATTTTGCTCACGTTAAGTTGATTTGTCATCATCATTATTATTATAATTATCATTATTATATCATATCGATATATCATTGTACAGGGCCGCCGACAGTGGCCGTGGGCACTGGGGGCCGCTTTGCCGTCACATTGGCTGGAGGTCTGGGGGACCACCTAGGGCCTCAGCGGGAAGATCCCCGGGGTGGGGACGATTCCGGGTGGGGGCCTCGCCCAGTCGAAGCTACGGCCTTTCAACGGATTAAAGAACTAATTGAATCGAATATAGAGTGCTTAATTTCACAAGGTCATGAAAAATAAAGTATGGAAACATGAAAAGTAAAAGTTATCCTTCCTTTTATTAAAATGTAGAGCTGAAAAGATTCATAACATAGCAAAGTTTACAGTGGCGGATCCAGGAATTTGAAATAGAGGGAGTAAGAGAAGGACTTTCACAGATGAAGGATCTATCTGTAGCTCAGCCTCATAAAATATTCATGAGGAAGAATTAGAAGCGATTAATTACGAGCTTTCACCGATAAACGATCAGCTTTATTTACAAGTCTTACAACAGCGGATGAATGTCGTTTAATAATTTTTATTATTCTTTTATCTAGTATCCCGGGCTCCTGTCGGCCCCGGGGAACTTGCCCTGTAAGCCCCGGCCTCTCGGCGCCATTGTCATTATATTACCGTATGATTAGATTATTAAATCATTAAAATATCAGCATCATTATTATCATCATTAATTTATGACATATCAGTTTAATCCATCATAACATGTTCATAATTATGTATTAATTTGTTTGCATTAACTATTGTGTCAATCTGATCATACTAAACACAATCCAGGTGCTAATGATTGGATTTGTAATAAGTAGAATAAGAGATAATAGGCCATATTTAGTAAAACGTTGTATTTAATACCACCATTCAAGGTAAACATAGGCGTAGATTACTGGCTTTCACAAACTAACTGAAATGCTTACAGCGTCATTAAAACAGTTGGAAAAGTAAATCAGGATTGTACCTAAAAATAAACACAAATTAGAACACCTACATACATTTTTATAGACTCAAATTTTAAGACATTAATGATTGATAGGCCTACCACAAACTACTCTCATGGTTGGCTACTGAAATTTAGGCCTAAATGCTATGTGAACGATAATGTTAAACAAGAAGAAAATACATCAATAAATACTAATACTACTAATAAACGACACTGAAACGACAAATAACAATTTTCTGAAAACAAAATCGTTTATATATTATTTTCTCGTATTTTTCTATGGTACCGGTGGTTACTTAAAATAACAACCTAATTATTAGAACACTCAAATACATACTAGAACTTAAATGTTGACATTGTAGGCCTACACATATAGGTATACAACACATTTTCAGACGTTGAAAACGAACAAATCACTGATATCATTGGCTAATATCGACGGAAGTAGAGCTTTTCAGCACTTGTATGGCCCCAGATAATAACGTATTGAAAATACTAGTACAGTATTTCCGTTGTCCAATGAATAAATCCGTCATATTATTCAAATGCACTTCTGTACGGTTGGAGAAACAGACAACAACAGGTTCCTTTTACACTACTTCATAATCGAACAACCCAATTGTTTTACAATTTTTGTTTATCTGAACAAGTTTCATTTGAAAGTAAATTCTGCTAGTCTTTTAATTAATATCATAAAATATTTGAAAAGCGATACCTTATTGCACTTAATAAATGTCAAATGGTTAGCTATGACTCCCTCGTCTGTTACAATGTTTAAATATCTTTTAAAAATATAACTAAAACTTGGAATGTTTTTCCTTTCCTGTTATATTTCCAGCAAAATCAACCGCACATGTAACAAAGTCATAAGGAACTTGCCTTAATATTTTAGATACAACTTTATGACAAAAATACTATATATAATAATAAAAACAATAATACAATAATACAAAAGAATATTATATAATATTCGAAATGATAAAACACAATGATCTGAAATATTTATAGAATGTTTTCTGATATCTTTCGGATTGCAGTCATTTAGCTGTTTGCCAATTTTTTTGGCATTACAACTTCTTGCCATATCGAATTAATTATCAAAAAAGACAACTCTACACTACCTAACAACTGAGCTAACTATGCCTAATTATAGAAACTGTTTTATAAAAATAAATCTACAAAAGTAGAACGGAACACTAATTATCATGGACAACGTCGTAGTCAAATTTTCACGATCATCTATTGACAGCAAACTACAAAGGACAAGAAAAATTACTGCGATAAAACCAAGAAAGGGCATTTGGGCTTAGACACTTGAGAACGTTCATGTTAGCCTGGATGGATTAAAATATATATCTAAACTACGGTATCCATCATCCCTTGATTGGCGGGTAGGCTTGAATAGAACATCAATAATATGCACCATTATAAAAAGGAAAACGCTTTCGTAAATCGAACTAAACACCAACACGTGGAACAGTTACAAGTAACATTTGTTGCTACCGTTACTTCTCAACAAATTTATTCCAAAAAAGGTGTGGACACCAGTAGGGGTTAAAAGCTGCGTTATCGTTAAGTGTTTTACCACTTGTCGCATAACTTTTATCGCGACACCCGTATCGCACAGTGTTTGTCAAATTGACTGGATCGCACATATTGGGTCACACAGATTCTACCAGACACTCTTTCTTCGTGTCAGATATCTCCGTCGCCAACTTGTGTCGTTGCTTGGAAGTCACGCAGTTTGCTCCACATAAACTTGTGTTGCTTTGCTGGTGTAGCGGAGCACCTTGTAACTCTAGTCATAACAATTATTTGAATGTAAACGTATAATACCAATATCGTGAAGGCTGAGTAAAATTCGAAATTCTTGTGCGAAATGGTGAACTTTTGGCAGTGGGACGAGTTTTGTTTGCTCATAATAGTGGTACTCAAGAGTTCTGTTTCGATGATCCATATGGAATGGCCAGAATCCAAACGCAGTTACCTGATCGCACATGGATAATGCAACGCTCGCCATGTACAGACCTAAAGCAAAATAATATAAGTAATTTAGCACGATATTAAAATTTACATAAAGCTAATTTGTTAAATGGAAGAATGTAGGGCGGAGGCTGAATAAATATTCATAAATTAATATTTACCTACACTGTCCTCAACATTTTAGTAATTATTTGTCAGGTATTCTTTTCTTAGGCAATTATATAACATACCAAATAGTATAGAACTGCAAAAGATCTGACTGTCCTGCTTTTGTATGCACGCAATGAAACGTTACAAATGTACTACGACGAGATAGGGGCGTCCTACACATAACTCAGATACAGTACTCTTACGGAATGACAATGGCCAGATGACAAATGTTGGTATTGTAAATAACGTTTTAAAGAAATAAATACAGTAGATGGATATAGATACAAAATTCATAAATAAATAAAATATCATAAATAATTATATTAATGTCAGTTATAAACGCTATCGCCATTTTGAAAGACGCCTCCTAGCTCGTGGCAATACTTTTTCCAAGAATATGATTGCGTTTCAACGAAATCACGGGAGTCGGACCACTTGCAGTTTTATACTTTGGTTATAGGCCTACCTGACGAAATACGCTTTGCATCTATATCGAACTTGTCTTTCCAGAAATGACTTGTTGCTAAAAAATGCTTAGGATGCATAAGTAACACATGTAGAGGATGGAAAGGGTCTTCTTTAAACGCCGCCACCACTTTCTTTGAAAGTTCGTAGCCAATTCTCATTGAAAACGCTGGGATAATTAAATGCTGGTTGTACTGCCGCATATCAGATAAATATTTCACTATATCACTCTCCAATGTTAGATTATTATATCTGTGTAAAAATAAATCAAAAAGAAGACATGGTGCCATAACATACGGTAATCATTATCACCACTATCCCACTATCATCATCACCCCTACCATCATCCACACCAACATCATCACCACCACCACCACCATGATCATCACCACCACGATCATCATCACCACCACCATCACCATCACCATCACCATCACCAAAATCATCACCACCACCACCATTATCAACACCACCATAACCACCACCAATATTCACCACCACCACCAATATTCACCACCATTATCACCACCACCGTCATCATCATCACCACCAATATAATTAACGTGGTATTCTTTCTTTTAAAGAAAAATAGTGGATTATATTTTACCTTTTAGCTATCACAGATGGATTCATCGTTGTCATGTTGGCTTTGCTTCCAGCATCATTTGTGAAATTTAGTATTGGCGGGGTATTCATTCTATCAAAAAAAACAAAAAACCACAAACATAACATAAAAGATATTGGCCTAATTTGCTAGCATTACAATGGAAATTTCTCCCACATCAATTAGCAGACACATAATGCAATATCTTTATTTTGACTGGTAATTAATTTAAATATGTATATTGGCAGAAGGTTGAATATACAGTACTTTGTTCAGCTTAAGCTTTTATTCAATACTTTGAATCGACTACTTGGTTAATTGGCTTTCAGCTGATAACAGCTGGAAACAGAAAAAAAATCGTTGAATTATAATAAACTTATACATAATGTCGTCCTAATTGACAGTTATAAATTCTTAGGTATAGGCCTACACATTTCAAATGACTTAAAACGGTAACGAACGCCCCATCAAAATAAAACACAATACGTTACAAAATCTCACGCCGATTACTCTTTTTATCCTTCAACCGCCAGCACAATTAGTAATTCTATATAAATAAGTAGTTAGGCTGATTCAAGATTTGAAGTTTCGATCCATTCATTATATAAAAATTATTGTTGAAATATAAATAAATGTTTGCATGTATTTAAAAAATATATTTATTAAAAGTGCAATACATTGTATTTCATTGATTTTTTTTTTGTATTGTGGTTTAAATGGATAAAAGATATTTAGTTCAGTGTGTTAGTGAGCATATGCTAAACCATGGCTGAACGAATCGAAAACTGTACAAAGCCTGGTGAGAAATTTTATTTTAGGTAATAGGCATATCAAAGATAGGCCTACTAGAAATACAAGATAAAGCACTCGCATAACAAAAATGAGGCGGAAATTGGTCCAGACGTACGTAGCGCTCTTCTCTTTTTATAATGCAAGTTTTCTATACTTGGTCCAGACGTACAGGGCGCCCTTTTGTTGCTAGGTACAGGTATAACCAGACGCACACACGACCTTTTTTTTCCACTAATGGAAGAAAACTTTATTACTAATCAGAGTCCGGTCATACGAATCTGCGCTTTTGTCTCTGTCATTTTATTGTCTTGATTTATTTATGCCTACTTGTTTGTATCTTATGGATAATGGCAACGATTTCAACCTCTGCAAAAGGAGGTCATATATTCACAGTTATGTAACGGTGGCAGAAGTTTTTTAAATCCAGCCGTACGCGGCGTCCCATTGTTTTTATTCCCGCCATGCATTTCGGTGAAACAGTTTTTTCTAAGGAGAACTCCATCTTGTGTTTCTAGTATATTTGGTAATAGGCATATGTACAGAATGATATGTTAAATATTAGATACGGGATGTTTGCTTGTGTTTAATTTCAGTCCAATTTATATTTATCCGCAGGTCTTCCATCAGAAATTCATTTTGATGGTGTCTCTGCGAGTTTGCCAAAAGACAAAGCTAACTTATTTAATCGTTTTTTTTTTCAATCTGTTTACAGCTGCAACAATGGTGCTCACGACCATCCAGATCTTCCTGAATATCCTATTGATAGTTTCAATCATATTAATATTGATCAAATCAAAATTGAAAAATTATTAAGCCAAATTAACCCGCACAAGGCCTTTGGCTGTGATGGCATCAGTACCGTTATGTTATCTATTGCTGCCAAACCACTTTCATTGCCCTGTAAAAAGTTATTTGAAAGATCTATTGCTGAAAATTGTTATCCGGACACTTGGAAAAAGGCCAATGTCTGTCCTATTCACAAAGTAGGCTCCAAATCAGATGTTAAAAACTATAGACCCATTTCTTTATTACCTTCATTATCAAAAATTTTTGAAAGAATCATACATGATCAAATCTTTAGCCATCTCCGTTCTGTAATTACTGATAAACAACACGGTGTTTTTCCTGGCAGATCATGTGAAACAAACCTTTCGGTATTTTTGTCACATGCTTATTCTGCTATAAATTCCAAGACAAGTGTGAAGTGATCTATACCTGTCTCTTATACACATCTAGATGTGTATAAGAGACAGGTAATACTCTCTTAGCTGTCTCTTATACACATCTAGATGTGTATAAGAGACAGCTATAGACCCATTTCTTTATTACCTTCATTATCAAAAATTTTTGAAAGAATCATACATGATCAAATCTTTAGCCATCTCCGTTCTGTAATTACTGATAAACAACACGGTGTTTTTCCTGGCAGATCATGTGAAACAAACCTTTCGGTATTTTTGTCACATGCTTATTCTGCTATAAATTCCAAGACTCAGTGTGAAGTGATATATACGGACATGGCTAAAGCATTTGATCGAGTCCCACATAATTTTCTACTTTACAAACTTAGTAAGTTTGGTTTTTCTAATAATATTTTAGATTTTTTCTTTAAGTATTTATATGCTAGACAACAGAAAGATACAATCGATGGTTGTTCATCTGAATGGCTAACTGTATTGTCAGGGGTCCCCCAGGGGTCTATTATGGGACCACTTTTTTTCACTTTGTTCATCAATGATTTTTCTTTTGTTCTAAATTATTCTATTTTTTTATTATTTGCTGATGATATTAAACTTTTTAGGGTCATTTCTGCTGTTAATGATATGGTTCTCCTTCAGGCAGATCTGGATGGTGTAGTTCGCTGGTGTTGCAGCTGGGGTATGTCTGTTAATGTCTCTAAATGTAGAACTATGTCTGTTACTCTAAAGAAAAATCCTATCCAATTTGATTTTAAAATTAATAATATTGTTCTTGAAAAAGTTGCCGTTCAAAAAGATTTAGGAATGTTTGTTGATTCTTCTTTAAATTTTTGTAAACATGTAGATCATGTTGTAGCTAAGAGTAACAGACTCCTTGGATTCATTTGGAGACATTGCAGACATATCGATGATGGTAATGCTTTAATTACTTTGTATAAATCTTTAGTTAGATCTAATCTTGAGTTTTGTTCTATAATTTTTAATTCAATTTCAACTGCACAGTCTGTTAGGTTGCAACGTATTCAAAATAAATTCTGTAGGTTCTATTTTCGTAAATTTGGTAAAAGTCCTAAGTTGGCTTTACTTGAAGAGAGAAGGAATATTTTTGATCTTATTTTTCTTTACAAATGCATAAATGCCAGTTTTGACGGTGATTTCACTTCTTTTTTTTAATACTAGTTCCTTTGCATAGATTAAGATCCCCTGGATTATTTTGGGTTCCACCGGGTAGGTTTAACGTTACAAAAAATGGTTTTATTTGTCGTCATCCTAAATTATATAATTCTATCTGTTTCAATCGTTCCTTAGATATATGTTTTGATAGTCTTAACTGCTTCCGTCACAAAATTACTACTATTTTTACTTCTATTACCAAGTGAATTTCTTATATTTTTAATTGTTTTTAGACCTATATTTGAATTTAATGTAATTATTATAATATTCAATTTTCATGTATCAATCCTGTTATGGGCGACACTGGTCGCTGTTGAATGATGTTGAAATAAAAAAAAATAAAAAAATTACATATTTCTATGGACAGTCTGAAATAAAAGTAAAAATAAAATGAATTCAATTACCTTTTCTCTAGCCCTACTCTTAAATATTATTGCAAGTCACATAAAACGGCAGCGTATATACATACGTACACACGTGTGTATATGGAATTGCCCGAGGTTCTGAATGGTTGGTCGGTTAATAAGTTTTTTAAAGAAAATTGTTCATGTGTAGGCCTATCGTCAATACATATATAACCAAGGTAATTCAACAAAAGGACGCACATCTCCGCTCTCGAACATAGCGCGTGCGTACAGTCCTTTGATCTTTACTGTGGCATCGACAATCCGATACTAGTTGCGAGTACAGCCGTCAATTATTAGTCTATGTGTGTCAATTATTAGTCTATTAGTCTATTCGTTTTATGGTGTTAGTTTTTATTTTATTAATTTTGGGTACTTCGCAATGTCTGTTACATTTGATTTTTTTTTTACCGTAGATTAAGATCCCCTGGATTATTTTGGGTTCCACCGGGTAGGTTTAACGTTACAAAAAATGGTTTTATTTGTCGTCATCCTAAATTATATAATTCTATCTGTTTCAATCGTTCCTTAGATATATGTTTTGATAGTCTTAACTGCTTCCGTCACAAAATTACTACTATTTTTACTTCTATTACCAAGTGAATTTCTTATATTTTTAATTGTTTTTAGACCTATATTTGAATTTAATGTTATTATTATAATATTCAATTTTCATGCATCAATCCTGTTATGGGCGACACTGGTCGCTGTTGGATGATGTTGAAATAAAAAAAAAAAAAAAAAAAAATTACATATTTCTATGGACAGTCTGAAATAAAAGTAAAAATAAAATGAATTCAATTACCTTTTCTCTAGCCCTATTCTTAAATATTATTGCAAGTCACATAAAACGGCAGCGTATATACATACGTACACACGTGTGTATATGGAATTGCCCGAGGTTCTGAATGGTTGGTCGGTTAATAAGTTTTTTAAAGAAAATTGTTCATGTGTAGGCCTATCGTCAATACACATATAACAAACCTGATGAATACATACAAATGCCTATCATGAAAACATAATATGCATGAAGTCACAAAGACAAAGACATACGACGTGCACGAAAACATACATAACTAAAGACAAAGGCCTTATATGAGGCATGAAAACAATAATACTATTTAATCCATATTCACAATGTACGGTACTTCAATATATTTTAGGATTTTTCAGAGTTGTGTCACAATTACGTCTGACGGCCGCTGTTGCCATATTATTATAACCGTAATCACAATACGATATAATTTGCAAAACAAACATAAAAGCAAACATAAAAGCACAAAGCTTCTAAATTAAGGCATTACATTAACAAATGATTGACGCGCTTTTGTTAATTTTTGTTATCCCATCCATTTTATGGCTTAATTAAATTTAATTATTCAACCAATTTAAATATAAATAAAGTAGTAAAAGCTCAGAAGTGGCATAGGTCATATTGTAATAATTTTGAGTCAGCATTCGTCGGGTCATCTGTATATTATTTTTTTAATGTAAACATCCTGAATCTATAATAATTAAATGGTTGTGATGTTGCACTTAGCTTTGTTTATATCAACACGTTCGAGAAATTTTAGAATGTAGGACCATGGAGGAACAGCTCCATGGTAGGACCACTACGTGTGGATGTGACGTCATCATGAGAACCAGCTTATTTGACAACGTGTTGCATCGAGTGAATCCATTGTTTGAAAAACTCTTACCTGATTACATAGTCTGCACTGTCTATTTGTTTCCCGCACTGACTATCCAGTAGTATGCCACTACTACCAACAAGGCTGCATGTACGATATCGTTTGTTATTGTCATCTTCAGGCCATTTCTATCAAAGTGTAAAAACAAACAATTAATGTACAGAGAGCCCAAGCATTATCAACATCAATTGCTTTATTTAAAAAATCACTCAAAACGCACTTATTCCAACAATAACATGAAGCGCCTTTGATAATTACTTCGGTTTTTTAAATGGCGCTATATAAGTTCTTACCTTATTATTATTATTATTATTATTATTATTATTATTATTATTATTATTATTATTATTATTATTATTATTATTATCCCTAGTTTTCAATACATTAGAGCCTAAGCCAATGCTATTTACTTATTGATAATGTAATATTCTGAGTTATTCATCCTCTATTTGGATGTCATATAACATGTAGGCATAATTATATGTATTATGATTCAAGGCAATTTTATATATTATAGGCCTATGTACATACATACGGTACATTATATATATAAAAAATGTAACGATGCAAAAAAACAAAACAACACTGAGTTAGACAGTAGAACACAAAATATTTTATTCAGGAAACGAATATTTCCTCTTGTCCTGATTACAGTAGATAATATTATTAAAATATGATATATATTATTGTAGTTTAAACATCTCATCAAACGACGCTCGTTCATTCAAAGGCAGAGACACACAGCATAACACCTCGTTTTTATAACTTAAAATGATGGGTTAAATTATCTTACTGATTTATTAATTTTAAATATGAATATAATAATTGAATTTTGATGTTTTTGAAATTGAATGTTTGATTTTTTAAAATGTAATTTAATGTTTTGTCCATTTCTGTGATCTTTTGCATGTTATTGCTCTTTTTTATATATTTAACTGTTTCCTAAAAGGACCATTAAATTTTTCATGTGTATCGTCAATACATATAT